CCCCCCCCCCCCCCCCCCCCTTTTTTTTTTTTTTTTTTTTCCTTTTCTTCCATTTCCCTAGGGAACATGGCTGATTGATGTTAAGATGGTTTCGTTTGTTGAAGTTAGATGGTGAAATAAGGTGCTTTAGACAACTCTTGCCATCATTTCAGGAAATCCCACCCCATTTTTCTGTTGTGTCCTGTCTCTTTCTAGGTGAAGGTGACATGCTGATCGGAAGCATTTGTCAGTATTTCTTAGCTGCAACAGTTGCTACAAGTGAGGCACACAGCGCGCACCTCAGCCCAATCGTCCTCGGACTGTTTGAATTTGTGGACGCTATTGTACCGGTGCAGACAGAGTCTCGAGTAAGTGAACAGCATTCAGTCACTGCGGGTGTCTCTTTGTCACCCCAGTTTTTCCATAATAAAAATTCCTAACAAATATTGCAACTAAGCAGACCTCTTTTCTTGAACACCAGTAATTCTAGTAGCTGAAGACACTTTGTGATCTTTAGATGCAGTGCATGGAGAAATAGGTGTTGTAGGGCTGTGCTTTGACACTGCCATTTGCTTAGGCTGGACAACATTATCTAACTCTAAAAAATATTAAAAAGCTCCCAAAGGAAACAGTACCTTTTAGAAAAAGAACTCTAATGATCATGTAATTAAATGTATAGTATGTTTCATTGTACAATAAAGCGTTTAAGTGATGATTTCCTGGAAACAATTTTTCAAATCTCAGGTACCACTAGACCACTAGATTGTAAAAAGAGGTATATTTCCAAAAGCTAAATTAGCAGTATCACCTGAAATTCTAATATAATGTTGTCATTCAGAGCTACTACAGTACATTTACTGTATTTTATTATTTTAGTTGCAGTTTCACTATTCTATTAAAAAAACTTATGTGTTTCAAGTATTCAGTATTGGAAAGACTTTCAGCTTTTAGGACTACCAGTGATTCTAGAACACACCTTCCAAACTAACTTTTTCTTTTCTCATTTAACTACCAATCTGCATATTGTTGTTGACACATAGGCTTTTGCCTTATGAAGATTGTGTGATATGAAGATATGTGTGATTATTAGCTGCAGAAGAATGCTAGAAAGTGATGTTTTGTCAGTGGGGTGATTTACTGCAAGAATTATTAGTAATATTGTTGTGTATTATTCTTTGACCAGTTTTGTCATGTTCCAGCATTTCACTTTTTTGAGTAGCAAACTACATTTCTAATGTTCGCTCATAGAAGCCATTTTGGTGGTGATTGCATTGATGCCATGCCTTATAGGTGAAGTATGCAGTAAATAAAGCATAGTTACTCATAAAGTGAGTAAAGTCCATGAGGAAAAGTACACCTGCAGGTGATCTTTGCTCTGTATATCATGCCATGAAAAAGCATTTTCCTATTAATTCTATAAAATGTGGGATGACATTTACCATTATCATTCTTTTTACAGTCAGCACTGCTGCATTTGGTGAAATTTGAGTACATAAGTGATATATACAGTCATCTCGTATGATTGCTCTGAAAGGTCAGCATACAGGACAAACATTTTTTGGTAATTAAAAATTGCATGCATAATCCAGCATTAGGTATTAATTTTTCAGTGGAAGATATCAATATGGGAAATCAACAGAATCACAGAATATTCTGAGTTGGAAGGGACCCACAATTGAGTACATTATTTGAAGTAATTTCTGTATAATCTGTAAGTTCTTTGACTTTAAAAATGCTGCACAAACTATTTAAAATGAAAGTATGCTGGAAATTTTCTCAGACAGAAAATGGCCAGGGAAGACTTTGACAAAGACAGCTAAGATTCAGTTGCTCAAAAGTTATTGTAGGGGAGCAGGTATTTGTAATTCTTCACTCAAGTATTTTTGCTTTAATCCAGCCTGTTTTTTCAGTCTTCTCACAACAGACCCAGACTTGTTTGTTCTAAGGGATCCTTTCATCCCAGCCTTTTGTCCAAAGCTCAAAGAGAGAGTGTGTTTCTTGACAGCTCTAATATGAGGCATTCTTTCTGTCTTTCTACAATCTTTTTAGTATCCCAGAAAAAAAAAAAAAAAATTAGCAGTTCAATCAGAGGCTCACTTTTTAGCTATAAAATTAGTTTTTGCTACTTTATTAAGTCTCTTCAGGTTGAATTCTGTGCTGAAAGGAAGTTACTAAGAAACTGTACTCCTTTCAGAGCTGACCTGAAAAGATTGGATTACTCAATTCCAACGTTATATGTTTTATGTGACAAAACAAATAAAAGTCCCTGGAAGAAAGAGCTAAAACATCATCCAGTGGACATTTTTTTTTCTTTTTTTTTTTCCTCTTTTTTCTTTTTTTTTCCTTTTTCCATTTTTTCCCTTTCCCTTTTCCTTTCCTGCCTTTCTGGGTCTGAAAAGTGCTCTCCTTAGAAATGAGATCTTTTTGGGATCAATACTACCATTGATTATATTTTTACCCTGCTTGGTAAAACTGGATAGCTTTGTGACATATATCTAGTTTCTTGGCAAGCAATGGCAGATACTAGTGGCCCTGCAGCTCGGCAGTCTATCAGAGACAGTTTAAGTCGTGAAGAAAATGATTGCTCTTTTGGCCAGTTTGTATAACTAATATGTTCCTTGGACAATATGTAAGAATAGTTATTGTGGAACTGTCTCAGGGTTCATCTAGTCTAGGATCTTGTTTCCATTAGTAGCTGTTAGCAGGGAAACCCAGGAGCAGAGCTTGAATCAGGACTGGCAGCTAAACCATATAGGCAGATGCTTTTCAGATCACATTTTGAGCATTCGCATTGCCCTGTGAAGAGATGATTGTGCCTCAACAGTTTGAGAGGCTTCTGATTATTCTCTTTACCAGAGCTCTTCTTGAAGAAATGGTATCACCAAAGAAGTACTACTACTGTCACAGAAAAGGAATGACAGTGTAATTGTTAGCAAAATAATTTATACTAAGGAGTATTTGTTATTTACAAAAGCACGTATTGCGATGCCACCGAGTGTTGCCATACTTCGTGAGTCTCAGCTGAGAGATGTGAGAGCGTCTGAGTGCAGTCTGCTGTAACTTGACGCTTGTTACAGCCTGTTTTTCTGCTTGTTGTAGCTCCCTTGCCACTTGGAGTCAGTCTGCACAAGTCAATGAGGAGCTGTTGTCGCTGAGACAACAGCTGAAATGGCAGTAATACTAGAACATCTGACCCCTGTGCTGCTTCTCCTTTTCCTCCCCTGTGTTTGCAGTTGGCAGGCGTGCTATAGTCAGGCAGCTGCAGCTACAAGGAAACATTTTATGGAGCAAAGCAGGAAAAAAGGAGGTATACCAAACCCCAATTTTGTGCTCCTGAGGGGAGCTTGGGGTGGGCAGATGGTACCACTGAGCTGTTGGTGGAGGAGGAGGGCACTAGCAGAAAGAGGTGAGGCAATGTAAAACAAGTCACAATGAAAACAAGGGTTTTGGCGTGCAGCTTCAGCTTGTGGGTTTGGCATATTGCCTTTCTGTGCTGAAAGAGCAAGCTTGCCTAACAGCACCATCTGGTGAGTCCTGCTATGGAATAGCTAGTGGATCAGAAGTAGCCTGTATCACAAGGTCCTGTTCCTCACATTTGGAATTGTAGAATCATTTAGGTTGGAAGATCGTGAAGTCCAACTGTTAATCCAACAATGTCAAGTCCACAGCTAAGGCAATGATATAATGTAATCTACTCAGTAGATTTATAAATTTATTTATATGTGTATACATATGTAGATCTTAAGCAACTCTATGAGAAGGTTATTCTGTGGGCTATTCAACAGCTGCCTTCTGCCTCGGCTAAAGTTTGTCAAAAATCACCAAAGAGCTTTTTGGGTTAAAAAAAATTGTACTTCTAAGGGAATGCAAGTTTAACCTGGGCTGAAATCACCTAAACTACAGAATGCAATTGCAAATGGTAAATGGTTGTTTACATGAAAATAGAATTACACATGAGAATTAAGTATGAGAAATAATAATATGTATACATGATATGAAATAATATGAAATAAATATGTATATAATAAATTATATACACATAGAATTAAACATGAGAAGTGCAGAAATGAAGGGCACTGTTTACACAGAGAAAGTGGCATATTTGGCCTTAAGCACTGGAAACCACACAAGAGAATACTTTTACAGATGCTGTATTTTGTTCTGTAATTATTCTTTTTCTTTAGTGGTGTCTACATGTGTGTATATTCCTTAGAAACACTGCAACTTCTCCAAAAGGGTAGAAAATTAATCTTACATATAGAAAATGGGTATCTACTTAGTGTTTTACTTTGATATCACACTTTTTTCTTGCAGTTTCTATCATGGTGAAGTGTAGGGAAATACTGCAGCTACAGTCATTTGACATTATTTGTAGCACTTGAGTCTGATTAGTTCAGACACATATTGTGGACTAATACTCATCATTTTTTTCATTGTCACAGTGTTATCTGCAACAGTACTTGGGTGGGAACTGGAGTGAGGAGAGGTCTGAGACAGTCAAGGCAGAAAAAACAGCTCTTGGCTTCTATTCCTCAGTCCCCCACACTCTGCTAGTAACATGTAAAGAGCAATTAGTGTTGCAGTTGTGTATCATGATTACAGTGGAGCAACTGTTCTGTGTAGCTAGAGTAGAAACACATTAATTCTTTAAAAAGTGTAATTGATTCTCTAAAAGCTACATAATGAGTGAGATTGCAAGGAGCTGCAGAATGCAGTCTTAGTGTAGATAATGACTCATGTTTTGCACTCAAGAAAAAGGTCTGAGATAGTTGTGTCTGGCTGACTTTCAGGCAGAGTCTGTTTCAGGAAAAATCTTTCAATTAGCAGCTGGAACTGTACTTTGACTTCAGCTTAGTCTTTAATCCCCTCTGTTTGGTGAAGTGTCAGTGCAGGCTGCTGGATTGCTGGTGATCCTCACAGTACAGAGAAACTTACAGATACTTCTGGAGATGTAATATGCTAAAATTAAGTATTTGAACAAGGCAGATTTTTATTTATGAATAATGGCCAGGCTGAATTAAACTAAGAGTTTTTATATCTGCTCTTGAGCCTGAGAGTAGCTAGTAGTGGACTGCTAAGGAAGAAGTTAAGTAATACAGTAAGCCCTATTTCTCCTACTTTACCACCACAATGCAGGCATATACCTTGGGCTATCCACAGTTTAGGGAATTGCTAAGCCATGGGCTGTAGCCTCATTTTTGCCTTTAACAGTCTTTGGAAGGCTTTTCTTCCATTACGTACTTTAAATCAATGTAATTATTTCAACAAATAATTTTGCTGCCACAGAATTTTGAAGCAGAGTTTCACATTTTAATATGCACCATACGTAAAGGTTTTGTACTGAGCGATTATTTAATTCAGTTAAATTTATTATGTCAAATGAGTGTGTACCTATTTTTACTAGTCTGCATGATTTCTTTTCAAGAGTTCGGAGTGTGTTGAAAAATGTATCTTTCACTGTAACAAGAACAAAGTTGTAATTGGAAATTGTAAATGCAGCTAGATAGCAAATATGTATATGTAGAACTTTTGAGATGATCTGCACACATAAGGAGTGTTACTTCCCTAAAACCTTGCTCGCTAACATTTACTGACTGCTTACAAGTGGAATCTGCATGAGTGAGAGCACCAAAGGGTAGGTGCCAAAAACCTATAGTGAAAAGCTGTGAGGAGTGCATGTGTCTTGAACTTTGACTGCAAAATAAAGCAGAAATCTACTTGCGGTTGACATGCCTACGATTTTCTAGGCATGTCATGTCGTTATATGCAGACAAATCTAACTTCCAAACTGGTAATTCCTTGAATACAAACTCAGGGTATTTAGTCTTGGGGTTTATGCAGTCCTGACCAAAGATACATGTCAGCAGCTTTTTCATTTTATCATCTGTGGCTATGTGTGGCTTCAGGTTGTGAGTTTTCATCCATCTTCTGTCTTCTACAGTTTTCTACAGGAAAATACAGAGTTGTGGGTAAACACTAATTGGTATAGCGTCCTATGGCCCCTGTAGGGTACAGCACTCACATTAGATGAAATTATTTTTATTTCAGCACCCATAATTACCAATGTTCACATCCAGTCTTTTAGGGGATAGAAATCCCTGTAATGTGAAATTGAAACAGAAATACAGTTGAGCAATTCAGAATTTTTTTTTTCTTCTTCTTTTTTAGGGCAATATTTACCAGTATTCAAGCTGAGGGCCTTGTGTATTTTGTAGTTTGTTGGGGGGGGGCGTGTTTGTGGGTTGTTTTTATTTTTTTTAATCCATGGGTTGAGCTGCATCAACCCAAGGTTTTCTTCAACATCGAACATGTACTTATTTGCGTATTTCTGAAGTGATCTTCCTGTCACACATTACTTTCTTTGAGTTTCCAACAGCTGTCACCTGCAGTGATCATCCCCCAGTGCAACAGATTAAGGAAGCAGTTAATGCCACATACATACATGCACATGTGAAGAAAGGTTTCACTAATGCAAGAGTTTGCATTGTCTAAGTTGTATCATTATTGTGCCCCAGGAGCAATGGTTCACTGGTATTTCCCTTCTCTCTTTCAGCTTTTCTCATTGCCCTTCCTCGGTGAGAATGGCAAGGATTCGGATTCCTAGCACAATTGTTATCATTTTTGTTACAGTTCAGACTGGATTCTTACTCTTCATGTATGCCCGGTACAGTAGCTTCACACCTCAGTCTGAGGAGAAACCATCACAAGTCCACGTACTTATTCTCTCTTCTTGGCGGTCGGGATCTTCTTTTGTCGGTCAACTTTTCAGCCAGCATCCCAGCGTCTTCTACCTGATGGAACCTGCATGGCATGTGTGGGTTACAATGTACCAGAACAGTGCCAAAGTCTTACACATGGCAGTGCGGGATTTAGTCAGGTCGGTCTTTCTGTGTGACATGTCTGTGTTTGACGCGTACATGCCTTGGAAGAGAAACTTATCCGATCTTTTCCAGTGGGCAGCAAGTCGGGCTCTGTGTTCAGCTCCTGCTTGTGACTTTTTTCAACGTACCGACATAACCAGTGAATTGGCATGCAAGACCCTTTGTGGACGGTATCCATTCAGCAAGGTGGAGGAAGCCTGTAAAACTTACAGCCACGTTGTCATCAAGGAAGTTCGGTTCTTTGACTTGAAGGTCCTATACCCCCTTCTCACTGATCCATCCCTGAATCTCAAAATTATTCACCTGGTCCGTGACCCCAGGGCAGTTGTTAAGTCACGAGAACAATCAGTCAAAGCGTTAGCCCGTGACAATGGAATTGTCTTGAGTACCAATGGCACTAAAGTGGAAGATAGCAAATACAAAGTAATGCAAGAGGTTTGCAGAAGTCATGTTCAGATTTATGAAACAGCTACTCTAAAACCACCTAATTTCCTGAAAGATCGCTATTTAATGGTCCGTTTTGAAGATCTGGTAAGAGAACCGTTATCAGAAATCTCAGAAATGTATAAATTTGCAGATCTTAGTTTGACTCCCAGGCTCAAAAGCTGGATCTATAATATCACACATGGACAGGGACCAGGGAAAAAAAAAGAAGCCTTCAAAATAACATCTCGAGATGCAGTTAGTGTTTCACAGGCCTGGAGAAATGTTCTTTCCTTTCAGAAAGTTAAGAAAATACAGGAAGTTTGCAAAGGTGCTATAAACATTCTTGGTTATCAGCTGGTGGATTCAGAAAAAGAACAAAGAGATCTGACATTGGATTTGGTGTTGCCAAGGCGACAAAATCAATTCAGTTGGTCATCATTTAATCCAAAACACTGAGACATTTTTGAGAGATCTGGGAGGTGGGGAGGGCTAGTTATTTGAATATTTCTCTACTGTGCAGCATATAGTAGTTGGAAAATCCTTGGCTGATGACTTTATGTTTTCCTCTACTCCTTTTCTGCTAATGTAAGAAGGTTTTTTTACATTAAAAAAAAGACAGCAAAGTTCTTGTCAGCCCATTACTGTGCTGCTCACAACATTGTCCTAAGAATATAATTTAAGCACCTTCTATTAAAACATGGATTATCAAAGATGTCTTTGTTTACTGATAATATTTCAAATATTTTTTTTCACGCTTTAATTATTTAAGGATCAGAGTTTGTTATTTGTATATACAGAACAATGTAGATTAACCAAATTTCTTCACTTGACTTTCTTCTTTAAAGTTGTCGTGCAGTTGTATATTTTTTTTTTTTTAGACTTTTGGTATTTTAAATTTTAACGTGTAACTTTTCCAAAAGGTAGGGTATCTGCAGCAGCTGTGTTGTAAAAGGCTTAAATAGGAACTTCATTTATTGATAGATTTCATAGTGGTTTCCTTGGAATGGCAATGTTTACAATTCAGTGTGATGTTTGTTTGGAGTGCAAAAACCAAAGAAATGAAGGAACTTTCGGTGGAATTACAGTGGAAATAGCGTTTCAGTGCTGTCCCAACTGTGTTCTAATATCGTGATACAGAATAAGTGCACACTTGCTCCTGCCGCGCAATCCATACCGTTATCCTCTCTTCAGAGCTACAAGTTATTTATGAGGATCACTGAGAAATTTAGAATGCCCTGAAAATTTGCGTGTCGATTTTTCTGCTGCATGGAAGTGATCGGTTCAACCAACTTTAATAGCAGAGACAGATGCTCGCGTACGGTTAACATTCGGCGCCGCGTCCGAGAAACCCACGCGGCGCCGGTGAGGCTAAAAAAAAACCGCGCGTGCGCAGAGGCTCCTAATGAGCGCAC